TATCAGTATTCACCATTTGCATCAGATGAAATCTTTCCGCAGATACTATCTTAGCATTATCTGACTTACGTCTGTTATCTTACTTGTTGGTGGAAAACAATTATCCTAAAATCCCCCTAAAAATGTAATTAACTGAAACATACATGAGTATTACATGAGTTCAACCTTGCAGACTAGTAACGAATTAGGACAAGCAGGTACAACTATTCTGGTAGCTTAAAACCTAGTTCAAAACTGAAAAAGACTAATGCCATAGTAGAATTACGTAAGATACATGACAATACTGATAGAAAAAAATTCACATTCTCAATAAAAGTGTCCGAAAAGGTTATTTTAGTCTTTATTTAAGAAACTGACATGCCCCGCCTGCCACCATCAGCGCGCTCCTTTATTCCTCAGTGCTTTCCTTCTCGCCTGGGGGACCTGGACTATCCAGGGAGCAGATAACTTCTGTATGTGTACAAAACACTTCAGCAACTTAACGCCTAGGAGCAACTCATTTTGGGGGGGAGGGGAATCTGAAATATAAAGTGCAGGTATGTTCCTGAAATCTAGAAAAGTTTTTAAAAAACAAATCCAAAAATTTTACCATTATCATCTCATTTATGGGAAGGTAATTAAACAAACTTGAGATATGTGTAATAAAAATTAAATAAAATAGAGGTGCCTGATGTAATTATTTAAAACTCTGCAAGTTTAATCATTATGTTAATCAATTCTTTTGCCCAGATAAATTTGCTTTTTTTTTTAATTCTCAGGAGTAAAAATGGTTTAAAGAAGAGGAAACTGACTAAGTAAGTTTTTCTTACTATTTCATTTAAAAAAAGTATTCTTTATAATGATCTTCACTTTCCAAATGGAAAAGATCGCTTGCCTTTAAATAGAAGGGATGCTGAAGAAAAAGGCAAATGCATATTGTAATAGCTGGGCTATTGAGTGTTGGTGTGTTTACACATATGAATGGCCGTGACCGCTAAGAAAGTGTACTACAGAAACCAAGTCAGGAATAAAATTCTCACCATATGAAATCTGAGAAAGAATGGGTTGTTAGGAATTGTAAACATCTTGCAGAAGGAAGTCTACTGTTCTAAATCTATAAAAAAAATCTAATATTTAGCTACATCAAAGTAGCACCAAAAACTGCCACTTTGTAGCTTCAAATTCTGTGCTTATTGCAGGGAAAGGCTTCTACTCTGTTTGATATAATAAATACTTAGATAGATATTGTCTCAGGAAATCTTTACAATTAATGGAAAAGGGTAATTACTTTAGCTAGCCTGTGGTTTCACTTATCCACTGAACTATTAAGTCAGAAGAATTATAATTCTGATGGGTGAAAATTAACTACCAGTTGATTTCAAAAGCCTAATTAGATCATCACCTCTGGGCCTTTAGTTAAAAACTACATGTAAAGAGTGGAACATTCCTATAAATCAAGTCCATTCCTCATACTTGCCTGGGATAGAATGTTGATGAATTAATATGGGGCAGCAATTAGGGGTCCCAGCCAGATCTATGGTATCTGTGCTAAGGAAGCACATAGTACAAAAGAAATGTTGATGCAAAAAAATTCTACTTAGCCTTGAGGGATGTTTGGGCACATAGAGATAACAGAATAATTTTTTCTTTAATCAATTTCAAATCAGTACGCATCCCGTTGGCATATGTTTAGTGATGTAGGACAGACAAGAACAGCCAAAGCAGAGGAGAGGCACTGTCAGCTGGAAGGAATAATCTGACCGAAATAGAAAGATTTTGCTGCCCAAAATCATTGGTTGGATTGTGGAGTGAGGTAGAGGCATAGACTAGAGAGGTTGGAGGACAGGGTCTTGGGACCAAAAAGGGGAGACAGTCTCAGGCCTTGCTCCTCCCAAGACCCAGGCAGAGAGGAGAAGCAGTACGTGGACCAGAGTTTCGGTGGAGCGTGGATGACGTGGAATCTGCCCACAAGCCAAAACCTCAAATCAAACCAGCTTCCTCCTTCCTTCTTCTCATTTTCCTTCTCATCCTCTCTCCTTCTCTACAAGCCATTTTTTGAGAGGCTCCTCCCGTCTTTCCAGTTACCTTCTCTTTATCTTTTCCCCTTCACTCGAAATGCCCCACCACCTACGCTGCTGCCCCGCCCCTTGGCTCCCCTTTCCCATCTCCACTTCATCCCCTCCTTTCCTCATCACCTTCTCCCTCTTTCCTCCGCATCTTTGTCCCACTGACTGATCTCAGCTCCCTACCTGCTTCCTGTTCCTTCTCCTTACTTTTCTCCTCCTTTCTCTGATGTTCATCCTTCTATGTCTTGGTCCTTCCTCTGACTCTCTTTTCCCCTCTCCCTCCTGCTTTTGCCTTTCCCCAAGCCCATATTTCTAATCCCGTCTTCCTAGGAACTAGATGAGAACTAGAATCGTTAGGTCCAACTTTAAGGCCAGTGCACTGCTCAGAGACAGCAGGAAAGGAGCCCCCTGTGTACCTGTTCTTTTGGAAGGATAGCAAAGTTGAACGAGAAAGCTTTTAACCAGGAATCCTCCCTGCTTCTACTCAGGGTTCTTCGGCTTTGTAGGCCCGAGATCTTGGACGACTCGTGTGAGCGCCTCAGCCTTGGCTCCCTCATCTGCAGGGGGTTAATGTCATCCATGCCCACCTCAACCATCAACCCAGCAAGATAGCACATATGAATATTTACAATCTAGAGTGTGTTTATGGATACAAGTCATTGATGTTATTAAGTAAAACCATTAAAGTTTAAATGTATTATCTGGGTCCTATAATGCTCTTAAAATCTACCCAAATCTTAACATAAATTAATTTATCAGATTAGTTAATCAACAACTTCAAACAAATATATGTATTGAATACAATGTATTTGCTAATAGGATGTAAAACCACAGGTGGATGATATAGGCTGAGTGACTTGCAGCAAGACTGAGGGAGAGGTCAACTCTGCGGACCCTGCCAGGGTGGAAAGGCTTGGGTTACGTGACAGAGCATGGCATCCGGCAGAAACTCAGGGTTGGTACAGGTGGGCTCTAGAAGAGGCAGGCAGCTAGAGAACGCTACAGGAAATAAAACTGAATTCTTGTTGTAAAACAAAACACGACAAGGAAAAAGGTGAGCACTTCTGCTACAGATGCAGAAATGTAAGCTTGATGTGTTTCTTGATTGCTCCTCTGAACCG